AAATTGCGAAATATATAGTTTTTTATTCAAAATGATTTGCAACCGTGACAACAGATTGATGATTATGCTATACCTAATAATTATGATATTTATAAGTACCGGCACTGAACTTAAGCGCTCAACGGAATCCTGCGCAGAAGTCAAAAATAAGGTATCAAAGGGATGGAAGAGGGCGCGGGGCGACTGAACGTCATGTGCGCTAGCGCGTTTCCCAGCCGGGTAGTTTTTCTCGAGTTCAGTCCGAGTTGTTTTAACAAATTTAGAGTTGTTTCCTTTGTGTTTGAAGTGGCGTTCTTGTAAAAAATATGTTATCTTTATTAAAAAGTCGTCGTAAGCCATTCTATTAGTGCGTCTTATATGAATTAATTGAAAATATTGACAATGAAGACAGGGATGCAAGGTAAGCTAATTACGCTAAGATTTATACGATGGAATGTAATTTAGTTCAACTAATTTAATATTTTAATTTATTCTATGAATTTGTCTACGCAATAATAAATATTCTTATTTTAGTTAGAATATAATAACTATATAAATTCTGATTAGAATTAATTAAATAATATTCAAATAGTTCAGATTTGTGTAAATATATGTATATCTTTCTAGGGAAATTACTAGAAGAGTTTTAAATTGAAGAAGATTTTACCTTCTGCAAACTCAGTGACATAAGAGTTTAAGAATGGTGGTTTAGTAACTCTGCCAGAAAACATGGATAAAATCTACCAAAAGAATCAGCTTAGAAGAAAAGGTACTTCATAATATTATTTCCTTGCATGCTTAATAAAAGTAATAAAAGTGATTTAGAGAAATATTTAACACCATGTTTGGCATCCCAGCGACAATTGAATGTGTGAATGGATCCATCTTTCATATATTTGAATGGACAAATGGTACTTAATCAGCTAAACTTACATTTCAATTATAATTTTATATATAAATTTACATATTTATTTCGGATTTGTGATAACAACTGTTGTCTCCTTAAGGTCAATACTAAGTATGGTGAAGATACACATGATTCATTTATTTGGAAAAACAATGAAAAAGTGTGCTTGCTAGGTAAAAATAAAATATGTTTTAGTGTTTGTGATTCAGAATATAATAAATTATATAAAAATACATAAACAATACTGGAATACTATTTTATCAAGTGATTCTGGATATCCCCAAAGGCCACCAAGGTTCATTACATCCTGTTCCGAACGCTCTAGAATTCATGCTATGGTTGATTTTACACAACCTAGCAATTCACTTTTGAGTCCCAGGTCCAGAAAAATTTGTTGAGCAAACCTCCGAGTTAGCTCTTCAAGAATGTGATGAAGTTGATTTACTCCAAATAAAATTGGTACACTCTAAATTTTTCTGTTTTATTTTATGTCTTACATAGTATAATTTAATCCTAAACTTAAACTTTTGCAATTGATTAAAATATTTTTTTATATAAAAACAACTGTACATCATAAAATGAATAACTATCTCTCATTTGTAGTAGTGGGAAGAAATATTTCCAAATAGATTGTAAATTATAATAAGATTAACTTTTAAATAAAACACCTCAACGGTTTAAAACGCGATATATTAGATAATTAATTAACTTATATATCGCCTTTTAAACCGTTAAAGTGTTTTATTTAAATGTGTACTACTCATACACTACAGACAGTATTTAAGATTAACTTTGTGGTTGAAAATGTATAATTTAAAGGATTTTGTCAAATTTTAATTTTTTTTACTTTTATACTTATTTATAAATATTTTATGGATACAGTATAGTTTTTTATTACTACAATGAGACTAAATCATTAATAAGATCCCAAAGTATACTACTTTTTGAAAGGAAATTGAGGTACATAAGGTTGAAAGACGTTTATTAATTCATTAGAATTTACAATTCATTTAGAATGAGAAATACATTGTTTTATAAATAACATTTGGTGTGCCTCAGGCTATTTTATATAAAACCAGGATTAGATAGGGTTACAGTTTAAGATGTGACTTAATAGTTTATTTTGAAACAAGTTTAAACTTTTTGAAATCTTAATGCTGCTGGGCAAATTGTTATACATATGCACTCCCTCAAACAGGTCCATACACCTTGTTAAATTGTCATCCTTACTAATATTATAAATGCGAAAGTAACTCTGACTGTCTGTCTGTTACTCTTTCACACCAAAACTACCGAACGATTTGAATGAAATTTGGTATACAGATATTTTAGAGCCCGAGAGAGGACATAGGCTACTTTTTAATGCTAAAAAAGGGGATGAAAGTTTGTATGGAAATTCGTGGGTTATGAAGATAGAACAATAAAACTTTCTTCTTTGGCTTTTTGGAAATAGGAGAGTTAGAGTAGGAGTGATGTCGGATGAGAGTGTTGCGGCAAAGTAGCACTTACCATAGATTGGCTGTCTTAAATGCGCTCTTACATAAATTAATAAACAGCCTAAATAAGTAAAGATTCTACCCCAAGTCACTACTCCACGCGGACGAAGTCTCAGGCTCAGCTAGTGTCTTATATGATATGAATTTCACTATGGTAACAATCAAAATACATTAACTGAACAAACTGTATACTAAATATATGGCATGGCATTGATGAAGAACAATAGTTAACTGAGATGTCCTAATATTAGCAATATACTTGCTAATTTCTGCCACTTATCCTTAAGACAATCTCCACTACCATCGCTACTTACTCCATAAATTCAACCATCATACCGTATTGAGCGCGACTCTCTAGTCTCTCTCATTTTGTCTTGATTATGCGACAAAAAACTATTAAAAAAGTTCTTGTTTAAGACAAGTGTTTTGAAGGGTTTCAAGTGTCAATAATCGGTGACGTTCATGAACACGATGTTTAATTAATTTTGGCAAAATGCGTTTTAATGTTAATTAATCAATGTCATGTGTGTAAAACAACAAAAAATATGTTTTTAACCAGAAATATATTAATTGAATGTATTTAATTGAAAATATGTATGTTTACGAAGTCGAATTGTTTATGACGTTTTAGAACGCACCAGTATTCGAATTACCATACCTATAACCAATACCACATTTAAATAAAAAAGGAAACCAAGAAAATTTTGTAAAAGTGTTCTTAATCTTAATAATAGAATTGACAGTTAAAAACAAAAATTGTAATAATGATTTTTCTTAATATTAAAGACATTGGTAAAAAAACAAAATAAAAATAAAAACAATATTTTATACTATCACGCCTCCTATTGTTATTCTTCTTATACCGTCTCACGATATTGGCTAATTCGATTCAGAATAGGAGAGCCATCAAATTTAGAAGAAGAAGTAGTAGTAAAAAAGTTGTAATATTGAGTGCAAGCAAGTCCGTATCTTACCGTTCATAAATTAAGGCTCGCATTCACTTTGCACTGACCTCAATTCGTTTACTTTACAGTCTGTGACGCAGAGTAAGCACTGATTGACGTACATTGCGTGGAATATTTGCACAGATTAAAGTGCAGTTGATGTTCATTGCTGAGCCTATTATACAGATTATAACGAGGTTGATGTGCATTGCTCGTATTATTGACACAGATTATTTCATAGTTGATGTTCACTGCTTGTCATCAATAACTTGATACTCTTGTTTTAACACTTAGAAATATTTAAAGAAGGCATATAAAGATAAGTTCACAGAGAGCTCCCCCTCGTGGAAAGTCAATTACTTGTAGCCATACAGGTGGGTCAGTGGCCAATTTGTGCAGTTATGAAGATGACGAATTTACAGTATAATGTAAACATAAGAAAGAGAAAAGATAGTATAGAATGATTTGACTATAAACAAGATTTTAGTGATTTAAGGACAGTTATTCAAAGATTATTTGATTTTTAATTTTAACTCTAACTAGACACAGTTAAACATCTAGAGGAACAATAAAAACTACAGTCTAAGAGCTGCATCACTGAATCAAATGGGATGCATGAAGGATTAATTGCTGAAGTTAAAGACTTAGTAGATCTTAATAGGTATTGCTAAAAAAACCTTTATAACCAGACAAAATCACCACTGTCAAACCAACTGTGAGAATGGGTAAATCTAGAGTAATGTGTAATGAGACTCTCATAAACATAATTTTACACATAATTTCATAGGAGTATGCATAGGAGGGGGTGTATCTTTTTTGTTCATAACTCGATTAGTAATTATAAATTAGAATCACTACCTATGGATTAAAATAAATAAACTGTCACTTAATGTTGGTGCAATATATATGCGTGACCACGGCTGCTGCAAAGCCTCCGAAACGTCGGGCCGAAGTTAAAAATCATTTTCAAATAAGTTTAACTAATATATAGCGTTTTAAACCGTTAAAGTGTTTTATTTAAATGTGAACTACTCGCGTAAACTATAGACAGTATATAAGCAAGGTTGTCTATTATATAATTATCTAACTGACATCTTATTAATAACGTTCGCTGAGAATAAAAGCTATAAGTGTCAATGTGACAAAATTATCTAATTACCTAAAAAATTAATATAACTCATAAAGTATGAACTATCTGAACTGTTAATTTCTTTTATAAGTAAATAATATAAACATTATTAGATTTACGCTAGTTAGCACAATACACGAATTTGCCAAAGCAAATGTGACGCATTAGCCCTTTAAAGATGTTTTTAAATCAAAATAATTTAAAGTAAAACTAACGGAAAAGTGCCAAAGTGCAATAAAAAAAGAAGGGTAGTATGTATATATCTATCTATATATCACTGCAGTATACGTAAACAGTATAGATGTCTTAATAAACGGTACTCTAAATAAGTATAGATTTTTTTTAATTACGGGCATGACCACGGCTGCTGTCGGGTCGTAGAAAAAAATAAACTAACAAATATATTTCGCATTTTAGATCGTGTGAAAAATGGAGAGAGACTTAAAAAGTTTTATTTTGATGTGGCCTAATTCTCCGTAAACTAAAGACCATACTTTTATACATTTTCATAAAGATAATTGAATGTCTAAGGTAAATCGACTTACTTCGAAATGAGATAATCGTTAGACGAACACCCATTGGATCCAATGTTACTTGGTCCTGGTTGGTCTCCGTTGGCCATATGCTCTCCATCATACCTTCGACCCTGTGGCTGTCCGAAGCACTCTGCGGAGTCCGTCATTTCGAGGAAGTTATCTCCGATCTGCGTTATCTGTGAGTCCCTAAAAATGTTGGAGAAATAAATTAAATATGCCATTACAGTAAATGTCAATATATTTTTACTCCCTGCGTCTGCTGTAAGCTGGTAAAAATATTTACGAAGCGACGAGATATTAAATAAGAATTTTCGAAACGCGGCGAAGGAGGAAGTCTGTACATAAAAACGATATATCTTTGATGAATTAAAAAAATCGTAATAAAAATAAACCTCTTAAAATTTTATTTTTCACATTGCCCGTTATTGGAATTAGATGAATATGTAGCAATTTTCTTGATGAATTTATTTTCGCGTCCATTTTTTTTGGCCTAAACGCAGTACACGTTAGAAACTTACATGGGGTTGTAGTTATAAGTGGCTTGTGAGGCTCCATCTCTCATACAAAGCCCGCTTAGATCGCTAACAGATATATCGGGATGGATAATGCTTGGTATACCCGTAGTTCTGCTGCTGTTGCATGCTGCTTCAAAACTGCATTCTGACTTTGGAGTGGCACATTCACCAGATTTTTCTATAAAACGTTAATATATCTTACTTATCAAATAATTAAAAATTACAATACAAACATTTTTTTTATAATTATACCCGTCAAATTATGTCTAGGTAAAGAGTAAGTTTACATAATTAGTTGTATAAATAATAAACTGGTTATCTCTAACTCTCTCTACCAACTAGCTTACTTTTACGTAGATTGCTAACATTACAAACGAACTTGTCAAAATTATATGCTAGGTTAAGCGGTGGAGCTCGATCTTAGAGAAACGTCATATTATTAGCCCTTGAGACGCAGATTATCTGAGTAGGATTTAACTTTTAATTACCGTTAATTCCAGCCAATATTGCATCTTCTTCATCGCTGCTCGTTCCTGAGGGTGCAATTAAACTCGGCTTAACGTTTCTTATTTCATTCTGTAATTGGAATTGTATAAATCGTTATCCCATACAGAAAGTAAACTAAAATATTAATCATTTCCTTGGGATTCAAAACCAGGGCCACACTCGTTTGATGTCAGTTGCGCCTAGCATTTGGTTTGGCTTTCGATCGGTTTTACCCTTTTATTTAATATATAAGCGAAAATTGATGAAACGTAATTCCTACCGTTCATTTATATTTCATTTAGAAAATTTTAAAAATTATTTAGAAATTGTAAGATCCATATTTACATTCATAATAAGTTATGCCTTTACAGCAAAGACAAAATATTCGTACCTCTCTTTGTTCCTCTTCAGCACCAATGGCTCGTTGGCGGAGTAGCTTTATATCCAGCATCCGTACTTCTTCGGCTTCCCGAGCTTGGCATTCCTTCTCCTACAAAGATACGTAAAATGGGACCTCGTTAGAAAGTAATTGAAAATAATAATACTTTTATTTTCCAAGGTTCCCAGGACTTGAAAGTACGCAGATATTTATTTTTTTCACTTTATGCTATTGCCATACTCCGCTTCAAATTAAACAATGCAACAAATGCATCATCTATTCAAAAATTACCTGGTAAATTGTTCCGTAAAAACTTTTTTCTTTAACATGCGATCCTGCCACAAAGATATCTTAAATTGCAAACAAATAAAATACCTTTTGCACTTGTCGTTCATGCTCAATTTTCTGTTGTTCCAAATCCTCTTCTTTGATTGGGGGGGACTCATCGCCACTGGACGTGTGCTTGTTACCTGTAAATATCATCCATCAATAAAAAAATTGAGGGAGACCTTCACAGCTACGCGCTGAAACTATATCTACGTTAAAGCATCCGTACCCAAATTGTAAAGAGAAACTCATTACTAAACTATCAGTTAGTCACTAAACTATATCTCAAATTTTGAAAACAAATGATGTATCAATTTCTGTCGTTGCTGTTGTTCGATACAAAACACGTAATGCTTATCTATCTTTGCTTATGTAAGCATTTTAAATTAGCACTGTTGTTTACCCAGTCAATTTTCCGAAACCTTCGTGCTCGAATCCAGTCCGCAATTGGCCAGTTTTTCATCTATTTAAGTTTTTCCTGAAATAAAAAGCAGCGAGACGTCGTGCAGCTTTACCCAGATCCTCTTGTTAAATAAACATTAACTTTACGATGTTAGTATGGATATCATAATTACCAGTGGGAGGATGGTAGGATATCCAAAATTGATGAGCCAGTTTTCCTGATTCCACACTCGGCGCGATCACTCGAGGGAAACTGTGGAAATACAGTTTATTTTTACGGTAATCGAATGCGTAGTTCTTGGCTTTCGTCCAAATACGTTACGGCGAAACACATAAACTTATCATTCTAATTCTACTATAAATGTGAAATCCTGTTTCTCCTCCTTCGAACACGAAGCGGACACGTTTCATTGTCCGTTTCACTGGTCGAATGAATTTACAAAGTGTCTGATCGAAACGTTTTTATATTTTATACCGGGATTGCATTGCAACAGAATGAAACAGTGCATTGCTAGGCAAATGTTTCATCCATTGAGCCACAAAAGCAACATATGCTCTTGACCCCCTCAATCGAAGATATTCTCTAGAGATGTTGATAGTTATTATTTAAATCATAGACAAAGTTATGCACGAACAAACATACAAACCGTATTTACGAATCGAATTGAGAACCTCCTATTTTAAGTAGGTAAAAAAACGGTGTCGCGTTGTACACATTACTCATATTCATCTCTCACCTCTTAAAAGTTCTTATTTAACAAAATTATTTCCGATTTTCGACGAACTTTAAATGAATTATTTCAAAATATAGGAAAACATTTGCAAGCTTAGAATGAAGAATAAATATTGCCTGTTCATTTTAGCAAGGTAATTTGTTCATGCTTTTGCTTGCTATTACGGCGATTTAAGGTTTCAAACTATAATATTTTGTGTATATGTTAAATTGATTATCTGTTAAATTGATTTAATTAAATTGATTATCTGTTAATGTCTACTGAATTCCAATTCGATACTGAAGGTAGACGAAATTTATTTTTTGAAATTAAAAAATGAGGGTAGATGAGTTTTAATTTTACGCGGGTCAACTGTCAGAACCGTCACGATACAACCATTTCGTTGGAGCTTTCAAGCGTGCGAGTGTTTTAATCGTTTATTATTTCTAACATTTTATTTTATATTAATATTTTATTGTGATTTTTACTTACAACATGTCAGACCACAATAACTCAGACGATGAATTTGTAAGTACTTCAAAATATTATCAATCGTGTAATTATTGTATGTTAGTAAGTGTAGCGTGTCAAAATGGCGTCGTTAAATTACAAAATGATTATGTATAATTTATGCATTTAACTTAAAATTACTAAGACAAACATTGATTTTGGATACTTGCAATAGGACATTTAGTCTTATTAAATAAAAGTAGCATATATGGTTGATTTAGGCATATTGTTAACATCTGCTAACAAATTGTCCACGAGGTTTGGAACAAAAGGAGTAATTAAGTTCCTATTTTAACTACATTATACGTACAATTGATAACCTTAAATGAATATTAAGGGTCTTGCTTTTGGATAAATGATTGAATTAAACATATAGTAGTAATTTTACTGAGAATCCAATTCAAGAATCAGAATTAACCTAAGCTGACTAAACATGTAGTATGCTTATTTGTACTTATTTAAAGAATACAGACATAGTCAAAGTTACAATAATTAATTATTCTGAATTGTAAGTGTAAATAACAGAACTTTTGTTATAGTACATAGATAATATGTTGACACTACTTAGTTTACAAGTTACCATATGTTACATAATGATATTGATCTAACTATATTAGAATGTAGAAAAGTTAGTCATGTGTTTTGAGTTGATTTTTCTATGAACAGGGAAACAACATTGATTTTTTTCATTGTTTCTTCACTTACTTACACTACAATTTATTATATGTAGTTATATAGAAATTTACATATATAAGTATTCTGAAACTATATGGTCACTATATTATTATTGTTTAGTTAATCATTTGTGCTTAATTAATACAATCAATGCAGTGCTATTTTAGTGTTATAGAAGTAGAATTATCTATAACAGATGAAACCAAATAGTTAAACTAAATATAATGTACCTATCAATACTTACTTTTATTATTATTTGACACACACAACTGACAGATGAATCTGAAACTTATTTGTACTGTTTGCCTGTTTGCCTGCAGTATACATACAATTATATATTTTGTCATAATGTTATAAGATTCTTTGGTGTAGAATAAATTGTATGAACTTGAATAATATGGGCAAATCACATTCAGTATATTCATGTTAATTACTTGAACAATCTATTTAGTTTTATTATAAGTTATTATTTAAAAAATGGTCTTAAATCTCCTAAAGACTTAAGAAGAAAGCAAATCCGCTCCCGTATAAAAATATTTTCAGATGTGTCTATGTTTCAATTGCAGTGTTGGACAAAAATATTTATTGAACCATTTCCTGACGAAGATGAGGACGAGGAAGCCGCTGCCGTATATGATGCTGTACTTTCAGTATCTCAAGTAGACCTGAGACCTTCAATGTACGGTGCATTTATGGGCCAACTGCCAGTGAGTACCTCACTTATATTATATTACATCTGCAAGGTAATGATGAAATTTAATTTACATTTCAGCCATATTATAAAATATTTAAACAAGATGCTATGTTAGTTAAGTCTAACTTGCTTTAAAAAATTATAAATTGATTTTGAACAGCATGTTAGACTCGGTGGAAATGGTACCTACGACTCGTCGTCAACAGCTACGTACATTTCTTCCACTGGACCAACATGTTCGTCAAAAGACAGTTTTATACAAAATATTATATTTTAGACTGTAACGTCTACGGAGGACGCAACTGAAGAGACAGGTGCAGGAGCCGTGTCACCGCTAACGTTTGCAGATCTGGCAACAGTCTCACCTGAAGCAATTGCGGAGCTTTGTGTGAGTGTATTGTAAATGCAATTACTAGGAATCATTACTTAGTAGCATTCGTAGTATTTCTTGCATTGGATCGGCGACTCCGTCAAAAAACAGTTTTTAAAAAAAATGTATCTTTTAGGATGTAGCGTGTGCGGAGTACGCGCCTGGGCAGACAGATGCAGGAACCGGGTCACCGATAACGCGTACAGTCTCACCTGAAGTCATTGCCGAGGAATGTGTAAGTGTGTTGTAATTGCGATTACTACTAATCATTACTTAGAATCATAGAATGACCTGTACGGCCGGTTTTTTTTTTATATTTGTCAGCAAAGAGTAAAAGAAGAACCCCTTTACTGACTACATTAAGCTGATTGCTAGCTGTTGCTACTTTTTTAGCTTTCTGTACGTCATTAAGGTACATTAAAAGAACAACGGCAGCTAGAGATTTGAGATATTTGAGTCAAACTTGCACTTGGCGCTTTATATTTCTTGACAAAATATACTTCTGCTTTAGGGCTATACTAAGTTTCGAAAGTAGTCTTTCGTATGCTGAAAAAGTAGAAACAACCATATGTTATTTATTTTGTAACTTCAAGATGAGTTTTGACAACTTGTTTAAAATAGCCCTAGTGACGTGTTGAAGCTTTAACTGTACTTAAAAAATTTCAGTCAACTGCAGACGGAGTGGAAGGTGACAAGGACGAGGACTATTCAGTTGGGGTGAATCTGTCGAAAATAGTCCCAGCGCCACGGTCGTTGCGGAAGAAACCGGTAGGCATTGTTGATTTCTCCTCTAAAATTGGTAAATATAATTAATAGGACTAATTAATAATTGCAGAAAATTTCGTATGCGGCGTTAGCTGGTTTAGGCAAGGTAGGACGGCCAAAAGAATCAGTGCATCAGAAAAAAAAAAGATCGGTAAGCTATGTTACTTTCCTTCCTGAACGTGGCAAATAAAATTGCTTGTATTTGTTTGGTCCTAGCACAAGATTAATTATTTTAGAAAGCGCATGCGGAATCAGCTGAACCGAAGGTGAAACTCCCCAAGCGGAGGTCCTCAACAAAGGTATCGAAAAGGAAAACGGTAAGGACTATTAATTTCTTCTCTGAAACTGGCGAGCACAACTCCCTGTATTTATTTCATCTCACTAATGCAAAATTACTTTCAGAATGTTTCAAATGTCGAGAAAACTAATCTGCTGGACCAGAATCTCTTAATACATGAGGCTCAGCCGAATATTAGCCCTGGCAGTATTTCAAGACGGCGCTCCGTAAGCATTAGAAATTTCTCACCTAAAACAGGAGTGTACAAATTCTTGTGTTTCTTCTATTTTTAATACAAGAATATACATTTCAGAATATTTCATATGAAGAGGAATGCTCGGATTATTCTGAAGAAGAGGCGAAACGAAAAAGCGTGCCAGCAAAAATTGTAAAGAGAAGTAAATCGGTAAGCATTGGAATTTTTTCTCCGAGAGATCACTCCTTTTATTTTTTTTGTTTCTATTTCAAGATTTTAAATTACAGACTGTTTCGCGCGTGGAGAAAGATCCCACCTTCAAAATAAAAGCACAGAGACGACATTCAACCGCCAATGTGCCTAATCCGCCATTAGCGGCCGCGCGAAATTTAAGACTCCGATCTGTAAGTATTGCCCACTTGTCTCTTGAAACTGGTGAATGCTGCTATTTGTATTTTTCTACACCTAGTACTAAATAATTATAATTTATTATACTTTTCAGAACATCTCATACTATGAGAGCAGTATATCGTCCGACGAATCTGGTTCGACTGTGGAGGTAAAACTATATGAAATATTCATTTTTGTTAGAAATTACGTGTATGCTTGTATGTATATATGTGTTACATCTTAATGGGCTTGTTGGTCTTATCGTTGCAATGTACGGCTAACAGACGGGTCGTGGGTTCGATCCCCACCGGCTACAATATGTTTCAGAAAAATAAAGAAATTCCGTCCGTGTAACGAACCATCGTCCACAGATGAAAAAGGCGAAAAGGTTAGCCGCGTTTCGCTTTCAGTCTGTGGATTTCTGACTATGCAAAGCCAAAATAGGCCGACAGCGTCTTCTGTTTAGATAATATATGCTGGGGTATATCATTTTTTCTCTACCGCCATCTATGGTAAAGTAGCAAAACGAACTTGTTTACATGAAAGCAAAAAAAAATCTTAATTTAGAATATTAACTTATTTTCCAAGTAAAGGGTCTGTGACATGTTTTGCTATTGTTGAACATACATTGAATTTACTTTTTGAATTGTCGATTTATTTGTTGAGTTAAGAGAGAATTTTCTTCTACGTTACCTCCAATGTATTCTTGGTTCCATAAAGAGAATAACAACTACAGAAAATATTTTTATACATGACGATAATAATCTGTATATCGATATCGAATTCCTATGTAATATATTTATTTCGAAGCTTTTTTCCTACTCTTAATAAATTCTCACATTGTGTACACTGGCTGATTTATATAATTATATAAATCAGCCAGTTAAATATTAAATTATGTTTAGCAATGTGTAACGAACAATCGGATATAGTCTGTCAAATATTAGTATCGAGTAAGCAAGTAACGTCTGTGAATTACAAATGTCTTCCGTTGACGCCTTGATTCAATGTTTGAAGCTTGCATTGAACTGCGGATCTGTGCTATGGACTAGACACAGTGCAGTGTACTACGTATAAATTAAAACGGTGTTTTATTGTTACTCATAATATTTTCGACACTCGTTCATTTTGCGTCCCAGTAAATTGTGAATTCAAATATCATTTGATCAAAGTATTCTCACAAAAGCAACTTTATGTATTACGCTGTAGGAACGAATTTTTTACTGCGTCCCCTACAGTTTCCTTGCACCGAAATGTCAGAAGGGGTGGACGGTGAATCTACCGACTCGTGAACATGATTAAAAATGTTCTGCCCGCAAAGTTCTCTCCGTTCGTTAGTGCGGTTAGCGTATAAATTATCAAGCAAAATCAATCGTGTGTAATGTTTCCGCCATAGCTGAGTTTTGACAGCCGGTTGGCTCATCGTAGTTGATCTTTCGTACTCCCAAATAAAAATGAACAGTCGCAGTGGGGTGAATGAAAGCAATTTGGTGAATTTATCGGCGGAATTATCTACGCTCAATCAGTTGGACACGAAAGATGGTTTACTGAGTTTTCCCTTCGACCATATCTATGCATGTCACTCAGATACTGAGAGACCCATGCTTCAACTTGAAAAGGAGGTAGAGGTATCCACACACTGTGTTGTAGCTGACGATAAAGTGATCGGAGGACAAATAGAGTTAACAAAACTTCAAGAGCACATTAATGCTTTGGAAAGTGAGAATAAAAGCCTGAAAAAGCTAGTTGCAGCTCACTTAGAACTGGTGCAATATCAAAACGAAGCAATAACAAAAAAGGATAGACAGAATCAGACACTTCGGAAAGAAAATGATGCTGTGAGTAACACACCATTAGATTGATAATGCACGTTCCTCTGGTTTGAATTTAATGTTATCTCCGTTTAACGATGACAACAATGTTTAAAGGCTTTTTTAAACTGTATGTAGTTAAACTCTTTCCTACTTTTACATTTTCAGAGTCTACATGTAAAAAGCTGTGCTATAATTTTAAACGGTTATTAACCGTTTAAAATTCCATAAACTTTTACATAACTTCATTATTTTGTACTTTGCTAATTCAAACTAAATTTCTATTTAATAAAACAGTTTGATGGTTTAAAATCATTATATTTGGTAAGATTTACACCATTTAAACATCTTGTATCCAAATATGTATAAAAAAGGAAAGGCCTATGCAACAATGAACTAATAAGAATTATATTACATTGTAAGCTCTACATGTACTTAAAAAAACTGACCAATTTTTATTTTTAGCAACAATCTATAATATGTTTTTGATAAAATTCTTTAAAAAAATTATTGACAAAGTCTGTTAGCTGTGCGAGACTTTTTTGCGTTGACTGCACTTGTTTTGTCATAAAAAATCAAATTAGCAATGTCAGGTGTTTGTTCAATAGTGGTTTAGGATTATTTACTTTAAGAATTAGGATTTTTGCATTATCTACGCCAAATAAAAACACATTTCTTCATAATAGGGCCTCAGCAATAATGATACTATAGTGTAGCGAGTCATTACAGGCTTGACTAAATGGGTATTCATCTCTATAAAGAGAGATTGTGGTTAGAAAGAATAATGCTATAGAATAAATATTTCATATTAAGAGTTTCTGCCATAATATAATAACAAAATGTATTTTTGGATCTCTTCATAAAGGAGATAATTTGTTATGCTGTTTCTATCTAAAAGTATTGGTTTGATTTTTGTCAAAATTACATTAAAATCAAACCACTAAGTATAAAAACAATCTGTGGTTGTATCAATTTATATTTATATGTGCTATATTAGATATATTTGTGAAGTCTGTAGATTATAAACAAGCGTAACACCACATTTAATGAGACTTCCTTCTGTTCAGTTAAGCATTTTGTCCTTATGATTTTAAAATATCTGAAAATTCTATTCTGCATTCATCTACTAATCACATGCTTACGGATGTAAGGAAACAAAGTTCTTTGTTCTAAATAGCTAGCAAGCAGAAAATACATCTTAAACTGCATAGAGTCCAGCAATTGTACACAGCAAATAAAAAAACGTGGATAGTGCTGCAATTACAGACTTACTATGTCCACAGCTCAAGGCGAAATATCTGCGCGAAGACCCTGGCGTGAATGTCAGTTCTACAACGACGGCGATAAATGCAGCGTTTTTAGCTTTGCAAGATTCTGCCACGGGCTCACCGGGCCAGCTAACCATATCTAAGGTAATATATTCAAATAAACCTGTATTACAGAAAAATACTTAACAGAAGGAAAAAAGGTCCAATACCTTGGGAGTGCAAAAAAATATTGGATAGACACATTTACTCTTGGATACATTCACAGAAAGAATCTCGTATTCAAATGTGCGTTTATTATTGTTAGTTAATCGCCATTTATTCTTATCACATATGGAAACATTGACACAGTCGACTTGCGAACCCCCAACCATCGGTGTACTCTTCCATTAAATGTGTTGCGATGTCGTTGATAAGTCCATCAAGATTACCACGTTACTCGCGTATGTTGAACTTAAACATACAAATTTTTCATTTCAGATTGTGGAAAATCGTTTTCCTGACCTGCTTGGCACTACCAAAGAGGTGACGTCTGAACCAGCAGAATTTAAGGAGACTTTTGGGCTCGCTGGGCCCTCTTCGCATCCCGGTAACTTTTCCCCTCCATCTGTTGTTCGCAAAACGTCATTGGTCTCGAATCTTTAAGATCATTCTGTGATAAATGGGTTACAGATTTTGTTGACAATATAATAATATATCTTGACTATGACATAAACATGGAGCATGGAACATGTTTAGCCGATTTCTAATCAAAAAAGTTATGTTTGGTACCTTATCACGAGACAACTACTGATAATTAGGCTGATTACCGAGGCTTTATTCGCATAGGTCTAATATACTTGTCTCACTTTCCAGAACTTATTGCGAAATATTCGCAAGATCCCGATCCCTTTCCACAAGCGAGGAGCGACGATCCCCCTACACAGTCGGCAAAAATGATTAACAGCAAGAGGTCACCCGCGAGAAAAGACGTGCGGAAGGATGTTAAAGAGATGAAGTCAGAGCCGAAATCTAAGAATAAAAAGTAAGTGGACGAGGACAAATTTTACAAAGCCGTTAAAAACAAAGCGAGGTTTTCGGTGGATTTCAAACCCACGAGCGAACCCTAATGATTTTGAATTCGCTATTCTACCAATTCATTAATTGCTTTTGTTCTGGAACCTTTATATATGTTAATATTGCTTATAATATTAGGCTGTGTGTCTGCTTTTTTATTGTAATGTTTTTAATCTGCGATGCGATAATGCTGGCGTGAACAAAATTACCCTTTTTATTCTATAAGACTCTTTTATTTATCTTTCTCCCGCATTTTAGTGTGTAGAAAAAGTTACGTTTAAGTTAGTTAACAATTATTAGAGACTTTCCTTTTTCTACAATATATTGAGGAGAAGGGGGAGGGGGGTGGGAGAGGCTAGCCATGCATCATATTCGTATATGCGATTGTATTTTGTTTTGCTAAATATTTTAAACTTTGCATTTGATCTCCACCTTTTATTGTGTAACTAGTACTAAATATAAAATGAATAGGGCTTTGTTTTACTCGAAATTGAATTGACGTTCATGTCTGCAGATAAAATAATTTATGCTTTGCGTAGTAATAAGTACCAACTAAAGTAATAAATATATGTCTGTTATTACTAATTAATAAATCAAAACTTAGTCATAGTGGCTAGCGTCAAGACAGCGCGAGTTGGATGTACTGACATTGACGCGAGTAGTACACATTTAAATTAAATTCTTTATTATTATTATTAATAAGTCACTAAATAATATTGTGCGTCATTTAAACCATTAAAGATTCCAAACGCTTTTCATTTATTGATATGGTAATATAACAATAATTTATAAAAGATTAAATAAAACTGAATCTTATTTGTTTATAAAAGACATGACACACAAAATGTAAGAGCTTATTTCTCATATTCTCGGGTTCGGAAATTAAAAAATACTACGTTCGGCTTTTACAGAAAGAAGCCGGTGGCACCAAAGGCCCAGCGCAATAATAAGAAGGGGAACAGGAATTCCGGGTGCACACGCGCTGTGAAACCAAAGATTACGGAAACAACGATTGCACACAGTAAGTCTCTTAATAGAGTAAAAGGGGAATCCCCATTTCATTAATAATTTACATTCATGTTCATGCGAGTGGTATGATAAGGTTAAACAGTTGAACTGTTTAAAACGCGAAATATATGAGTCAAACGATTTTTGGCTAAGCGTGTTATTTAATAACAAAATATTGTAATATGATGTATTTTTGGCCTTGCCACTTTTTATATATGAAGCTTGTGAATTTTTTTTATTTATAATAGTTATTATAAATGCTTTTCAAAATTAGGGTTGTTTCTTTAAGTTACAATATACGTATATTTTGGTATTAGTTAACATATTGAACATATTTCCAAAGTTGGAGTAGTTAATTTCATTAAATAAATCAGCATGACATTTTTTTATCAGAGTACATATTTAAATCAAATATTTACATTTTATAACTGTTATAATGGCTTCATGTGTTACCTTTTGTTTGGCGATGCTGTAATCATTATGTGTCTTTTATATGAAATGTTTTCACTGTCATCGATTTTATTGTTACATTTACCCAATTCAAAAATGCTTTAAAGTTGAACGACTGCTTTACAACCAAATTATAGTATTTTCATTTGTTACATCTCCATAAGCACATATATAGTACGGGATCTGACCACTCCATTCTGCAGGCATCTATTTATTGAAATTAGTCTTAAAGGCACCTTAAGAGGTATAGAAGAGATAGAAAATTAGAAAGAGAATCTGGTATGCTGGTTGTCTTTTCAAAATTCGCAAGTACCTCAAATTAACTTTAGTGTTTTTGATTTTGACTTGTAGACATTATTTGCATCTACATTTTTTTAATTGTATGTCATTTGGAACACAATTATGTAACGTGTTAAAAAAGTGGTTCTCTCTTTCTTTTTGATAGAACCCGTTAGGTAAACGGGTTCTAACGACGAGTTGAATCGTTTCTTTTTTAGAAATAGCCGCCAAGTGGCCTTTCTATACTTTTTGAAGAATTATTACATTGTTAAATGCAGGATTGAGTGGTGGGATTTTAAGATAACATATTATTAATCACGTCACTGTTATCATATATCTTGAAACATGGCTAATAGCTCTTATTTTATTTTAATCTTAGTAAAGAAAGGTTTTATTTCCTTCCTTTACTATTTTACAGGACTGTTATTGATACAAAAATAACACCATAGTTAGCATTATACAAAAAAGTATTATGTACATTATATAATAATATATTAAATAAATTGCCATTATTATTAATGATTGGGACAAAACAAACAAACAAATAGACAAATATTTTTGTGGAATGAAACTATTGTTTTATTATTTATTTCTAAAATAGTTTTACCCTTAATTGCGCCTGTACCTCAAAGGTTACTTAACATTGCGTTGTGCAAGAGAGGCCGAGTAGGGCATAGAAGTCTGATCAACTACTTGTCTGTAAATAAAAATGATCAACGTAACGGACAGAAAAATGTAATCCCCAAATGCTCAAAACACTGGACAACTTTCAGATCGGCTGCGCTTGTTTGATACGACCCCAACTGGTGAGGAGGACCCTTATCAACTAGGTATTGTCTTTTATTAACTTACACTCCACTATATGAAATATATCTCCACTGCTTTGCTAGCCCTAACCCAAACACTTGCTCTAAGTTGCATGCATTCCCCTACTAAAAAGACTGCATAAACTTGCATAAACTGCATTGTCATTACTGTTTAAATTGAATCTACCTTTTTCATAATTCTATTGTAATTTTAAACAAGTCAGCTGGCGTAAAGCTTGCGATAGTTTAATTAGTAAACTAATCTCGAATCGGAAAGAGATTTCGTTAAAAAAAGGTTTTCTTTATAGAATCAACTATAATACTTTTATTACGAAGGGTGGTGCCCGATAACCATCGTGTGCCTTTGTTTTTCGTTAATGAAAGTTACTCGTTTGCAAGTTATATGCGTATGCATTAGTAATACTCAGAAGAAGCTTGGAATAGTTGGGTCGGTGGTAGAAGATTTCTATTCTCGAGGTTGTTTTTTTATTTATTTTAAGTATCGAGAATGTAGCAAGCATGTGTATTACAGGCGAGGCAGATATGAGGGAGCAATCGCCTATTCCGAAACTGATGTTTAACAAGCAGAGTCGACCGCGGAGATCGTCGACTCGATACAACTCGCCTCACGAGAACGCAACTCAGTACTCGGTGGGATACGGGCGGACGCCGAAACAGAAGAGTGCGGTTAGCGAAGACCAAGATGAGGACGTGGACGTTGAGGTGGTGAGGACGGACCCCCTGGACTCGGACCCGGACTGGTGTGCGAATAACGAGAAGAACTTTACTTACCGTTATAAACGCACTACATCGCCGATGCTAAATGCCGACGCGCTGCAGCCGGAAAACCTCGCGATATCTAATAGCGCGACATTAGATCATATGGATTACACCGTGGCTCGTCCGGTGGCCCAAGTGAAGGTAAGTCACGGATAGTAAACAAGTCATTGAAAGCGTTGTAAAAAGACTTTGAAGGCGTTTAAAACGTCAAAGGTTGTCTTTGCCGAGTGGCACCTAACATTATAAAATTCAGTTGTTGACCACACCGATGAATTTTACAGAACGAAGAGGCCGCCGCAAACAAACGGGCTACGTCTGGGCGTGGCAGGAAGCGGGCTTCCTCCTCGCCCGGTGTTCCGAAGCGGGGTAAACGGAAGCCGTGTACGGTTAAGCAGACGAGAGGTTAGTTATTTTGTTTAACTCTTATCCGGAGGCAAAGCCCGGTAACCCAGCGCATGTTCACTTGGAGACCTGCTCGCAATAACGTTCAGTAACCCTTTCAGGTTAAGAACGCAGAAGAGCCTAGAACATTTCTAAATTTCATCTGGCTCACACTCCACCATCCACAGATGATTGAGCCACGAAGTCTAATCCTACGTTTCGATTTTAGTCTGTGGATTTCAAAATGTTCTAAGGCAAAATATATCAACAGTGAAGCTTGTATAAACATTACACCTCCCCGTCCCCCAAGCCCTGTCGCGAAAGAGTCCGATTTTGGAACAAAACATATATTTTTTTGTACATATTGAATTGAAAACTATACTGCTAAATTTAGAGGTAGACTTGTCTTTTCGGGTGTTTGTAACGATTGTAACGAATGAACCAAAAACTACTGACCCAATTTCAAAAGTTAGATTTTGGAAAGCTACTTGCACCCTGATTAGCATAGGCTATATTTATTTTTAGAAAAGGGAGAGATCCCTCTTTATTTTCGATTCCACTTTTAGAATTTAGTACCCAAGGCTTTAATAAATGTCATAAAACATGTTTCATCGCATGCGCTGAATCATGTAAATTATTATAATAAAGCTTTGCGATACCATACGGCCGGCGACCATTTTTCTTCAACAAAAACTACATTTAGGAATTGTGTTGTTCATATGTTTAACCCTTATCCGAGTGTAACATATTGTTTTCAAGACTATTTCAATCTCTAGTTTTATGTTTTATTTGTTTAGTGCTTTTGCGTTCAAATATACTACGCATTCAAAAGGTTTTAGAAATTAAAAAAATAAAGGTCGCTTTGTGCATTTACATTCTTGTCTTTTTATTTGTCCTTATCCAAATAAAAATATTTTGTATTCTTTGTTGTTTTCTTTTAAATGTTTGTGTTGTGTTTTAAGTGGTATTTTCTTTGCAAAATGTGCACGTGGGAACCAGGAATGGCCGCCGCTGTAGCATATATTTCTATACCCTATAAATCCTATATAATTTGGGAAAGCGACTTTGCCAGGTCAGTTCGTCCAGAAGCAGCGTAATTAGGTGGAGTTTAAATATAATAATAGTCAACGACGACTAGTTCAGTCGTCGTTGCCGCTAAAGCTTTATACAGTTAATACATCTTTTATCCGTACAAGTAAGTACACCAAACCCATTACAAGTGACATCATCTAACAAACTGGATTGACACGTGCCTAATATCATAATGTAACACTTTTTACAGTGTCCACCCGCGCCAAGGTTCCTACGGCACCTGGAATCACGACGGACGCTGCCTACAATACGGTGATCGGCGAGGGTGACCAATACTGGTTCCAGAGCTTCGAACCTGGCACATCTCTCGATTTTCTTGAGGAGACCAAAGCTACAGTTGAGGTACTCAACATTTCTCAATCTCATTTTATCATATTATTGTTAATAAAATATGAAATTATATTTTTATACATGGGTGTAGGATTTTTATAAAGGGTATAAGCATGGTGAATTTGCCCCCGAAAGGTATCGGCTTGATACTGCGGGGATTTTTAGGTACTAATAAGATATTAAGATTCTGAGAGTTTCAGCTTTTGAAACCAATCGGTCTTCGAGAAAAAGCCAAATATGTAAAATCAGATAAAATGAATATTCTCAGAGACTATTTTATCGATTGACTTAGTTTTTTTATAAACCAATCAATATTAATTTTCCAGGTGCCGCAGTGGCGTATAAAGAATTATTCACCGCGACACTATCCTGAAGGCATCGAAGAGAACATGGACGAAAAAGTGATCGAGAAACGCCACAAGAAACTGGAATTCGAAGAACGCCGCCAATTAAGGTAAACGGATGTCAAGACAGACAATTAAATAAAACACTTTAACACGTCACATTTAACAATCACGTGTGTCTCCCCGTGACCACGGCTGCTGCAAAGTATCCGAAACGTGGGGCCGTAGTTAATAATCATTTTCAAATAAGTTTAACTAATATATCGCGTTTTAAATCGTTAAAGTGTTTTATTTAAATGTGTACTACTCGCTTAAACTATAGACAGTAAGACAGACAATTTCAAACAAATACTGTGTAGTTTAGGCGAGTGGTACATATTTAAATATTGCACTTTAACGGTTTAAAACGCGAAACATCGAACCGTAGATAAAATCGTATTTAAATAAGTTTTACTAGTATATTGCGCGTTTTAAAGTGTTTTTTGTTATTTCTGAACAAAGTATGCTGTCGACCTGTTGTGTCTTGGGACATTAACAAGGTCTGAATCTTAAACGTTGATTTAAAGTTTCCGTTATTCCGTACGTGTTGTGTCTCTAATGGAATTTCGATATTTCAAGCATTATTAGCCGTATAAAAAGTCCCGGTAACTTAGCCCTTAATTGAATAATTCCAGGTGGCATATGCGGCGATTAAGGGAGCAAAGGCATGTGGAGCGGCTTAGGCAACGGCATAAAGACTCATGCTCGAGTGCGCCAGTCTCTGCCCCGTCAGTGTACACGTTGTGGCCGCGGCCCCAGGACGACTTACAGATGATCGAGATCGTTGACGAGTTGCCCGTGGGAGCGCTCGGCGAAGACGTACCCGCATTGTCAGAAGCGTTAGTATTTGTAAACTTGGGCATCAACATTTATTTGTTGTAAACCTCGTGTTCAACCCTATTATAATTTAAGCTGTCACCCACAGTTCGTCGCCCTCTTCCCGTCATTCTTGCTAGTTAATCTTAAAAGATAGACGTATAACATCGCACATTTTTTTAGATCATTTAAAGAGGAACCATCTTTCCTACAAATTTTTTTGGGTATCATAAACCGTTTTTGCAGCGTATGCAACGGAAACCCACAATGTTAAATAGCTTTTCCCGTTTGTATGTGTGTATGTGTGTATGTGTTATAGCATAAATGCAAATATTCCTCGATAAATGCTCTGACCACCACAAAGAATTTTAAATTCGAACCAGTAGTTCCTGAGATTAGCGCGTTCAAACAAACAGACAAACTCTTTAGCTTTATATATTAGTATAGACGTTGCACCTCATGGCCGATAAATATATTAAAAATCGAATTTAGATTTAAAAAAAAAAATACTACAGGCGGGATCTAAACTGGCATCCACAGGGTTCTGTGCTGTAACCAATTGAACTACCGTGTCTGTGTGTTGGAACACAGAACTCTGTAGATCAATCTAAAAATAATTTTCCTGCTTCAAGCCGTAATAAAAATATTTTATTTAAACTTTGTCTTTTTGTCTTTGTAGACTTATCGGTAACTAAACTATACATGTGTTACCAGACTCTGGTCGGCGACAACACGTTGTGTTTCTGTTCCTTGTTTTATAATCGTCTGTTTATTTTCAGGCAATTCTCGCTGCCGTGGGTACGGCGGTCTCAGAAGCCTCTTCGGCGATCCAAGAGATCTAAAACGTTGCATTGAATGGCGCTTAAGAGGAAATAGGGTAGAATGAGTCTTGCTGCATTTATATTGTAAATATTCTTAGTGTTTCTAGTATTTAAATCTATCGTAATCTCCATTGGTTATTGTTGAACTATAAATAGGTCAGGGACACATTTCTCGTCGGATAACTAATATGACGTTCTTGTTACTAATGAAATATTTTCAAAAGCCTTGCTTTTACTTTACCCTGAGATACACATTTAAATAAATTAGTTACTTACGCGTTTTGTACCGTAAAAAAATATATTTAATGTGTCTTCGGTACTACAAATCAGTTTATTTATCATATCATTGTCTTTCGGGCTGTTCGGCCGATGTGAGCGTGAAGAGGTTTTCGACGTTTCGCCATCACGTGTGGACGGCATCTACCTCTCAGCAATTTGCGGGTTTAGGCCACTTGGGCAGGACGGTCTGTTTTAAATAAATAAATAATCCGTTTATTATCACAAAGTACATAATTTACAATTAAAATAAGTAAAAAAAGAGTAACCTTACAATTAAAAGAATACAAAAAAAAAGTACAATGTTAACTTTGTGCTAAAAGGCATCAAGACTCAGCATGTGCTCAGCAAGGCTTGCTAAGCGCTGATTTTCAGTCTGTCCCTATCAGATAACAAGTAGTACCAAAACATATAAATATTGTGGAAAAGTTGTAAAGAACTTAAAAAACTATAATTATGACTTACATTAGTGGCAGTGCGAATGCAAAACTATTGCGTAAGTAAAAGAATACTAAAAAGAATAAAATATATTTTCAATGGTTTGTTGTTAAGGTCATATGTACTTAGTCGAGCTAATTTGGAATTTCATTAATATGTCGCGGTACTTTTTTTTAAAAGTACTTTCAATTGCGCTGGTCTATTTCGATCGATTCGTTTCGTCATCCCCTTGGACCATATTCAATATTAAATGTTGTTCGCGAAAATGTTGATATATCACCAAGAATACGGGTATTCTATTTTTGCAAATCTCATGTTTATTTTATTTTATTTATAGTTATACAAATTATGGACGACCTTTTTTACGCTAACACATTACGTATATACGACTAATACAGAATATGGATAAAATCAATTATACAAAATGAATTATAAAAAAGAAATAACTTCCCATATACACTTTTATTTACCCGTAAACATAAGACTATTACAAAATATTATTCAAAATCAATCGTTAAAATTAGGTAAAAATGAATGAAAAAAACTCCTTAGCGATTAAAACTTATACAGTTACTACTTATACAGCTGTTGCGACGTCCGTTCTTATGTTTATACAAACATCCGTTCATTACAAAATATGGATAAAATAAATCATTAAAATGAGTAAGAAAGAAATAAAAAATGTTAACTTCCTCGGGTCGCGTCGAGTGACCTAACTTGTGAAAACGAGCCGAGATGTTCTCTCTTTCTAGCGTTTCTTTCTTACATTGTCTTATTACATTAAAGGCAAGAATAATTATATACAGGGTATTTTATTATTGGATTTCATTGTCTTTTGCGTTGCTACAGCAGTAGAACAACATGTATATTAAGTACGAAGTTAACATGAGTACTACACACTTTAATAAAAGACTTAACTGTTTAAACGCGAAATATATTGTTATTAACTTTGTAATTGTATGTACTGCCCCGTTTGGATAGCTACGTAGCTCTTTTGTATTATATTGGTATACTTTCTTTTAAACTGCTAAAAACAGTCGGGGTAGTTATATTGTGCGCTTGTTTTTGTATGATTCAGTATATGAAAGAATGACACTTGCCGTGTAACTTCCATTATGTCTGTCCTATTCAACAATCTTTCCTCCTATACCAATCGTACTCGTTAAAAAGAGAAAGAACTATATTTTATTAACGATTTTCACTATATGATGACTTAACACCATTTTAAGTATGGTATCGGTCCTATGTAAATATATTTAATCTTCTATGTTCTAGTATTATTTAGGCTAAAAGCATGAGATTGTATGTTGTATGTGTCTATTCAATCCTGTATTATACAGTGTATATATGACTGAAATTTTTACGTTTACAAATATATCGCAAAAGTTTTTGCAAACGATAAACTGTCGTAAAGCTGATGGTAGGTATTTTGCGAAGCGTAGAAATTGTTTTTGTTGGTATAATTGTTTGTGTAAGCGCAATGCAACATGACGCTTTGCCGATTTTGCTTTAAAGCTATTTGAAGTCGATGGAAATGAATTCCTGTTATAATTAACCTGTCGACATACGAAGTGTGTAATTATAATGTATATAAACGAATTTCATGAAATATGTGTTTTTGGCAACCGCTATGTTTGTCTCTGTCAATTAACAAAACTGTTCTGTTCTATCCCCAATAAGAACACAAAGTGGTCAGTGGACTATAACGAGCCCACCAATTTCAAAAGATAAGAAAATATTCTCCATCTCGTGCAGACACTTTGACTAGACAGAGACAAGCTGATTGCGATGTAGAGTGCCGCCAGTATTATCACATTATTTTTTATACGGTGTAGCTTGGAAGGTTTTGTTTGCAAAATTTCATTAAAATCTGTCTAGTTGTTGACGAGCAGGTTTATTATTTGTTTAATAAGTAAAAACATCGCATTATAGCTACAAACACTAAAATGAATGACATTCTCTGTCGTCTTCATCAAAACAAAGCATGTGCGGTGATTTGTTATTAAGTAAATATGAAAAAAATAACTTCTTTAGCTTTGGTGTTTGGAAATACATAGTAATCTAATGTGATAAGTCTGAGTGCACTTTGCATATGCGTCCTTAAGAGAATACTAGAATATTGTAGATGTAGTATACCTTAATTGTCTTCACCCCGAAATTCATAATCGTAGTATAGTATTGTTTTTTATTTATCGTTACTGAAAACTTGTTGTAAATTTGACGGTTTGACGATAACTCTAAAATTTTAGTAAAACGTCTACATTTAAGCTCTTTCGATTCTGGTTTTTCGAAGATCTCATTATTGTTATTGGGATAGCATTGATAACTATTAGCATAATAATTTACTTGTAAGCTTTTTCTTTTTACTTGTAAATTTCGGATCGGCAATAAGGAAATATTAGGCGATAATCAGTGTATTCCTATTTGCATATCAATTTACTTTTGTTTGTCTCAATGTCGTTTATAGCCAAGCCACCGAACGATTGTAAATTATCCAGCATCGAAATATTGTAAACAAAATACACTGCCTACAACTTAATGCACCTTTTTTTACGTTGTTTGTAATCCAATGAACGATAAGGTGTTAAATTGTGGGCCAGGATCTGCCGTCACAATATTTCGATTGTTTATAAACTAGCTAGATAATAAACCATCATACGATGACAGCTACACTGTGTGTAGTTAAGGTGATTATGAATAACTAAGGGCCACTGAGAGAGTATACTCTATCAGTGTCAATACCGCATTTAAAATAATCTCCAAAAAAAACCCATTTCAGGCCACAAACGGACATTACATTCTGAAAAATATTTTTTAATAATGTCACAATGTTTGTGAAATTTAAAACGACGGTTGCTGTAGTCGAAAGTAGTATTTTTTTTAGAACGTCAAAAAAAGCGTGTCCATTTTTGGCCTGACACACTATGGGGGGGGGGGGGGTCATTTCCCTAAGTCTCAGTGTACAAGTTTAGCGTAAAATGTAGCTTAAAATAATATGTATCTCCCCAAAATGTTGTTTCTATTCTGGTGACGATTAATGTGATACTTCAGGCTAAGTTGTGATTTACTTAACATTAAAGAGTCTTTAAAATCATTGCTTTTATTTACCCCCTTTCAGTGTTCATGTCATCTCTGTAAGAGGAACTCCGGATTTTAAACCAACTTCCCCCAATAGTCTTTGATGCGAAAGGGTCCGTTGGTCTTCGTATATAATCGTAGTTAACTTCCGTAACACCTTAATAGCCATAAATAAAGCTTAATAAAGTTTAATACAAAAGTATATTATAACATTTTTATTGCAAAAATTAAACATAGCATTCTACATAATTGTGACGATAAAACTAACTACGTTTTTAAATGACACTAATTGAAAGCACCAAGTCCAACAGCCCTATTACCTGGACCCCAAATATGCTCATCACCAAGTGATATAACATTATGAATACAAAATCCATCATCTGTGATTATTAGCAGAATGAACCCTTGTTTTATTATGTTTGTAGGCAAGTCACTGTTATCAAGTTAATAAGTGTAATAAAATAGATATTACACTTATTGAAAAAAAAGGACGAAAATACATTGAATAATAATAGCACATTAAAGCAATAATGACACAATATGATAAACACCACTACACGACTAAAATAACTATTCTTAAATATTAAAGAATGCATATAATGGTATATACTAAGAAGAATATATGAGGCCGCTGGAGGCAGAGTAGCGTAACTGCAATTTTATATCTCCTCAGTTATTTTTTTAAAGTCTAATAATGGTTATCTTCAGGATCATAGTGACCGAAAATTGTTAACACAATTCTTACACAAATAATAGTACAAATTTATTTCCGCCTAAGTTAATTGCGCATTTTCATTTACTTCTTATTGTAAATTATGTTTTTTGTTATTAGGCCACTCTGCCTCTAGCAGCCTCGTGTACTGTTGGGTTTCAATATAACACTAACTTTTGCTTGATTACATTATTAAGTCAATTGAAATTGGCGCAATGTAATTTCGACCTTAAAGAATACGTGTTGCATTTCAAAATTCTTAGTCAATATCGAAACCCAACCACTGTAATAATATTGCTTGCAGCAGCGATATTTTTGCATTGAAATACTATGTCCTAACATTTTCTGGTGATTAAAGCCAGTGTCTGATTTGAGAAAGCCTTGAGATTAGTTGTTATCAATATAAAATTGTCGTTGAGATTTTTACATTACATTGCAATGAAAGAATCTAGACACTAGTAGAGCGTAATTTTTAATTAAAAAATATTTAAAACACTAACGGTTTGTTAACGATTTTTTACTGTGACTTTATAAAAGGCGTTTAAAATCGTTAAAAGAAGATTCTCTCAAATTAGAAGCTGGCAATGCTACGCATTTAAATCTTAGCTAGTTATAAGGTATTTCTTAATAATCTAGTTAAAATTACGTATTTGGAGGTATAGATATAATTGAGGTTTCATCTCTTGTTTTAAAAACTTTTGTGTTAAAAAATGTGTGATGCGAACATGGCAAAGCCGGGGCCACTTTGCAAGGGCTACTTACATACACTGTAAGTTGCATTCTATTCGTCTTCGTACGAAATATTTTAGTAGTAACCCGATTATTTCTACGTTAAAAGCACTGTATTATAAATGTCCTACTGGATTCAGAGGCTATCTGATCACCAACGGTTGTAAGTAAATTGTCTTTAGATAATGCTTATTCAATCAATTTTTGATTGAATTTGAAAATAAGAAAACATAAATAAATTGAGTAACATCAAATTGCATTATTTTATGGTTTTCTCCCTTTTTTTCATATTAATAAATGTTGTATAAAACACAATTATATCTGCTAGCGATTCTAAGACATTTACTAAATGTATTGCTTCAACAATTCACTTTGAGGTGGCAACTTCAAATATGTATATCGATCCACCAATATGACGTCTAAAGAGGTTTCAAATTTAACCGAATAAAAATAAAACATAGTGAAATTTGAAGCATATATAAGGCACTGGAAATTCAATTATATGTATTTATATATTATATGGCATGGTAAAAAGATCAACTTCACCAATAACTATTAATATAATAATAATCAAAGTTTAATGTAATGCATAAAACCTGTATTTGGTGTGTTTTGTCATAATAACGAGATTTTTAATAAATAAACTATTACCATCAGGTCAATATTACTACTAGTTATACATTAATTACCTTTTTTAAAGATATAGTACGTACGCGTAGTACACATTTAAATAAAACACGGTTTAAAGGCAAAAATATATCACCAATTTTTTTTTATTGACGTGAGCTCCGTACGGCAAGTTCTGTTTAGTGTTTTATTTAAATATATAGATATACATAAAACTTTCATTATTAAAGTGGCATTACTTAAAATATTTGTTTATAATCAAACACCGTAACCAATTCCCTTGGTGCAGTCTATTATCTTAAAAAATCTGCCAATATTTTCTCTCTTGTACACACGTTAAAAAGAAATAAGTCAACTTCCAACTTACTGTTTTCTCTAATAGCACATAACTTGTGTAAAGACAAGGTTAGTTCAACCAATCTGCTGAGACCACATTTTTATATCACCATATGTTTTTATCTGTATTAGATGGCTTACACATTTAAGTAAGTGTCAACTAAGACACTATTAATAATAATGGATATTTTTTTATTATCAAGATTCATTTCGTATAGATCTGTGTGTTTCATAGTAAATTACCTAACTCGATCTGTCATTCGCAACGAGTGACAAAATGTTGCGTTTTCATCAGGGATATGTATCAAAAACTATTTGCATGTTATAAAACGCAAAAAGTGCAAAAAAAACTAGCTATCACTATCGATAGTATACTAGAGATCTCTGCTAGCAAAAATAAATTGTATGCTAAATTAAGTAATACATACATCAATCCGCCTACAAAAATAATTTTACTAAGGTGACCATGATAAAATGTTCTACGTAACCTGTACGTTATTCTAAGATTCTAAGTAATACCTACTTAAGTTAACGAAAAAATAAAAACGAAACAGCACGAAATTCCATATACGCTGTTTTAGTGATACCATGTTCTGTCTCTTTCATTCAAACTGTGAAGATTGTCGTATGACAGAGACAACATGAGCTTTTACATAAGTAATAGTGACTAACCGTACAATTTCACTTCCATTTCCACGCATGTCTTAAATAACTCATCGATGTTTTTAAGAGATTTTGAATCTTTTCCGTCTTGAAGGAAGGTTGAGATTTGATTGAGACATTCTTCTTCTACATCTTGTAGAACTTTGGTTATCTTTTGGTTGTTGGATCTCAGGACATATTTCGAGTGGAGAGAGTAGAGTTGATGTTCTCTCTTCGGCTGAAAAAAGAATATATGAGTTATTAGAGAAACTAGTTAAACTTCGTCTACAATAATTGAACATTAAGTGGATTCCACAGGAGAAAAAGCCGTATAGGACAGGAACGAAAAGCATAGGCTGCACTTCATGCGATATTCAACTCCATCTAATATTACAGCATAGTGCCCTCCTGACCTATTTTGGCTTTGAATATTTCCTTCTGTGAGGGTTGATTCTTGAGCGGCGATATTTCAATATTTCTACCACCCATTTCCAGATTTCTAATTCCAACATGTTTCAGAAAAATTATAAATAAATGAAAAACATGGAAACCGGTGGGAAATGAACTCACACTTATTCATAGTATGGTTGGACTATATTACCTTCTATAAAGTGAAGTGAAGCTTGCTTTTCCCTCTCTGTCATAAAAAAAATAAAACATACCTCTTTAGGGCTGACTGTGTAGGGAGATGCCACAGCATTTTCGGTGAATACAAACGGCTTGAAATACGACACACTGGGATCGGGCGTGGCTGTGAACCAATGAACGTTTACACCGCCGCTGGACAACGATGAAACCTGAATAAATTAACAAGTTAAAACTTGAATGGATATTATTGTAAACTGTATTGAAATATGTTATATATACTGAAATTAAAAATATATGGAGATTGTAGAATTTGACAACACGGGCCTTGAATCTTCATCCACAGCATTCCATGCCCCCGCTCCAACCATTTATACACCTTTTGCGCAACGTAATTTCAACGTTTAATAGCAGCTAAAAAAATGGTTTAATCTTAACTTGTCAAAATTTAAAGAAATAAAATAAAAAAAATAATCCTTGTACCTGGCTGCCTTGAGTGGGGAAAGTGTCCTCGACTCCACGGCATATGCAACTCTCTTTATGCCGCAAGATAGTGAACATATCCTTGACCTCGAAGGAGTTGTTCGCAGTTAACTGAGACAGGAGTTTTTCGCCGGCCGCCTGCCTCTGCTCATCACCCCCCGAAGAGAAGGAGGAGGTGAAATCAAACTTACCCTGAAAATTAATAAAGTTATTTTATCGCTGCTGAATTGTCTAATAATGTTTATAAATTTGTATATTTAAATAAAACACTTTAACGGTTTAAAACGCGATATATTAGTTAAACTTATTTGAAAATGATTTTTAAGTTCGGCCCGACGTTTCGGATGCTTTGTAGCAGCCTTGGTCACGGGGAGACTGACCGAGTCTCACGGCTGCTGCTTAAAGTTAGTGTTTTATTTAAATGTATACATTTGTATATTCCACATTAGAGCTTATATATATATATATATTATATTTATTACCAACTTTATATATATATATATATATATATATATATATATATATATAATAGTGTGGTAAATAAATATAATCGCTGAATACTGAGTTTTCAAATGGAAAAAGTATAAAAAAAATATTTCACACGCGCAACTCAAAAATAATTTCCAATAGATTAAGTTAAAATAGGCGCGATTATTCACAAGCCCATTGAAACAGTTTAGCGCGAGAGGTACTGGGTTCGAATCCTGGGGAAACAATATTGTTTCGGTTGGCCAGGACGCAGAAGTCTGATCTACACAACTATAAAAGCACCGATTAATGAAACGGACACATGAACGTGTTCGCCTCAAGTCCATGGGGGGGGAGGGGGGGGAACGGGATATCACTTATGAAAAAATAATAATAGCTACTATCACTTATAAAGGGGACACGGGGAGAGTTGGATGACCCAAAACCTCTACAAGGAAGAAATGGGAAAATGGGTGAAATGGTCAGCTGATAACGTGGACTAATCACCCGTCCTACCACAGGTGTCCCCGAAAGAAAATAATAATAATAATCATTTATAAATATGATTTTCGTGTCGTTTCGTGAGTTTTTGGTAGCGGTAAGAGGTACTTTATTAAAAAATATTATTACTCAAGCTCTACTCGCAAACGCACGTAATGACGTTTTTCTCATAAGGAAAGCATTTGAAATTGCGTCAGAATAAAATCCCTATGATAAGGAAAAAACATAACGTCATAGTATGATGGTTTATGTAGGAAATGTATGTATATCCTATATTCATATAGCGAGGCATATGGGGCAGAAAAGGTAATCAGAATCCTGTGAACTGTCGATTCGAATTAAGAACTCGTTGTACCTAAAACTTAGACCAACCAACGCTGGGTATGAGACACGTACCTTTCCATCCCAGTAGCTCATCTTTTCAGCAATTTCAAATAGATTCTCCGAGTGCTTATCAATCTTTGTCCTAATGGTCAGACCGTTTGATATATTCCTGAAGCCATTAGCAATTCTTTCGGCAGCCCATAGTTTTCCACTTGTCTCAAGTACCCAGGCCTCTTTTGAGTCAGCAATGAGAAAAGAGTTGTGGTAGAAATGGCTGTCATCAAATTCTGAGCATGGTCCACCCTGGCCATACTTTTCCAGTAGATCTGTGATGATATCTAATGCTTCTTCCGCTGAGTTCCCCCTCTCTAACCCTAGTCTATGAAATAGATTTAAAAAAATGGTTTATTTACAGTTTTGTGGACATAACATTGAATAGTATAATTAACATGCAAAAGAAATTTTTTATTAAAAAAATATTATGAGTTGATTATGGATTTAAAAGTTTTTTATATAAACCAAAGTTAAGCAGTAGTAGAACTTGAAGCATGTAACCCTTCCATATAAACTTATAATCTGTAAACATAAAGTTATCTCTGTCCCATGTACCAAGATTAAGTAGATTCAGCTGAAACTTACCGCACTAAGTCCATTCCTAACAGCCTCTTCTGTCTTGCATCTCCTTCACCTTCATTATTATTCGTCCAGACTGCCTCGTTACCTATGACCACATTTTTATCGTTGGCACCCATTTCTGCACCCCACATCCAAGCTGGCTTACTTAGTATCACATTGTTAATAGGGTTGACACTTTCATCTATACTGATATATGTACACTGAAAAGAAAAAAGATTTAAATAAGATAGGTGGGGGCTTGAGACAGAATCTGAGTAAAATTAAGTAGTATTAGTTTATGCTGGATTAAAAATAGTTATTGGGTTCAAAGCTCCAAAGGAAGCTATTAGCCACCCTGGTTAATGAAAATTGTTATGGCAATCAATTGGTTAGACCTAAGGGTAAGAGCAAGAGCACGGAACACAATACCGGTTCCTATCCGAGTCTAAATTTTTTATTTATTTTTGAGCTTTAGTGTATATATAAAGTTTTCAGTTAGTCTAAATCTTATGGTTTATTATGAATGATAAATATTTAATGTTTTAATTTAAGATATTACGGTGTACATTGAATCTGTTGTTAAAACAAAGCCCAGCAAAAACAATGATAAATACAAGAAAAAATATCAAAAGGCATTTCAAAATGCCTTGACCGGTCCTTCTTTAAAAGTCAAAGGAGTTTGCTGTTTATCCAGGTCAACCACTTTCAGTATAACATTAAATATTTAAAATTTCAACAAGCTCTATTATACATTTATTACCAATAGCCACTCTGTTTATAAATGGGTTATGTTTGTATCATATATATGTAAGACGAGAGATTTCATTTATTGGAAAGTTATATCTACTTTTAGTCACAGTTATCAACTAATTAAAAAACAGGTTGATTAACAACACAGATACTGATTGGATACAAAGGAAGATACGGAGATCTGTCTAATGCCCCTAAGAAGAATGTTTTTAATAGTGTGCATTTTATATTTTTTGTTGTTAGTGATTACTCTAATAATGGATTTTTAACTCCTAGAATAAAGATTATTTTTATATGCGATAAAAAATCCCGAAACGGAACAGAGTTTTTTATCAAACGCTGCAGTATGTCTAATTAATTTCACCTTCAATATTGGTTCACGAACTCGGTCTTTCACCAAAATCACTTCTTGCACTTCGCTCTGCGGTCGATCAGAATTCTTGCCAAATATAACAACATTCCCCTTTGTCAACGGCGACAAGACAACGAACGTATCACAAGACCGGGGATACATTATTTATTATCTTATTGGAGATATAAAGCTATATTTTATATTAAAATATTTACGATCACCACACGAACAGTCTTTTATGCTTTGGCTTGCTTTGACGTTTGTTTGCATTTTTTCTAAGAATTCTTTTTTTTTATATTTGACAGTTAACATATCATAGATGTTAACTAACAAATGTCGGAATCTACTAGTGTTATTGACTATATACTTTTTTTGTTCAGGACTCTTGTAAATATAATAGTCATTATGTACAAAAAAGTTTGTAAAAATTTGCATATTTTTTGACAAACGATAACCATTTTATACTAACAATACTAGGAATGCTCATAAGATTTTGATTTAAGCGACACCTGTTGCCAAACAAGAAAAATACCAACCAAGTGTTAATTTGCAATTTGAAATTTCTTTTCACTATTTTAATATGAAAATATCCATAATAATAATAATAAAAATAACTATTTCCTAATAATCCCATATTTACCATAGGGGAAAAAAAGGAATTATTAAGTAAGGTAGTGTTTCCCTCTGTAAGGTATGGGACCAATAAATATCTACATCTGTTTAACCGTTCGATTTACAGGCAATTACTGGTTTTCTTAGAATTTGAGCAAATACTCAGCTTAATCAGCTTAAGATTTACATCCGGCTTAGGTAAAAGTGAATTTCAGGTCTGAATTTGGAAATTAATTCAGTGATGCAGGGTCAATCAGTATTAAAAATACAGCAATTTTAATTGTTATATTAAGTAAGAAAACAATTTAGAATAATTACTTTCTCTTGTGATTATAATTAATAATATGTTATCTTATTTAATTAAAAACATTATTATTTCTATTATTAAAAGGATGTGATTGATGTAAATGTATCTTAAAAAATATTTTTGTCGTCATAAAAGAAGTTGGTTCGCATGAAACTGTAAAAATTGTATTCCGAGATAAGAAAAGGAACTCGACAAAATGCTTTCGCGGCGTTTCAGAGGTAGTTGATACTTTATTTCTAGTTCTAAAAGTGAAGCCTTAAAACTTTTTCATTTATGAATGTCGCGATAATGGTCGGTAATAGGAAACGGGACCGTCAGAAACTGGTGAAGCCCTGGAAGTAGATACCGCGTCCGGTAGTCGGTACGAACTGCCGCTACAGTCTACAAACTAAAAATGGGACTATTGTTATAAAACTTATTATTTTGTAATTAAACTGAAAGGCTCTTTAGGGATAGGTTAGCATATTGTTTAATGAATGCATTAAAAAGGAAAAATAAAAAATTCTATATTAATTTGGTTATTATACATACATTAATAATAAAGATCTTAAATTAATTAGTTCGTTCTATACCATTTTATGTATTAGGGTGTTTGCACATCTATTTGGAATAAAATAACAAATTTTTGTTATATGTTTTGAAGTAACTTAAAAAAGTATATATGTAGTTTTTTTTCGAATTGGTATTCGGTTGATTTCATATGTAATAATCTCTTTTATTCCCCTTTAAAAGAATTATTTCTCCACTGTTAACCGTAAACTGTAGAGAAGCACCCTCTATTCACGCCCATTGTTGTCGGCATTTACATAAATGATTTATGAAGAATCTCTTTTACGAAGGGCCTACCTGCGTTTAAGTAAGAAAATAATAAAAATTATTTGTAAACTATACAGCAGATAGCGATATATATTAAGCATAATTCAATATTTATAGCAAACATTTCTGCGTCTGTTTCACTGGTCCATTTTACCTAGGCAACGAGTGCTTGGACTATGCGTGTTTATCGATTAGCAAGGCAATGCATTTTACAATTGAGTAATTTAATAAAACCTGGTAATACCGGAATTCGTAAACAACGTCTAACTGAAATTTAATCTTCAATATTTATTTTACTGAAATAATTGCTTGTCAAGATTCTATTTCAGTACATATAACAATTTAATAATTTGTAATTCCATAAATGATAGTGAGATAGACGTCAATCTTGGTCAAAATATATTAAGTTATTGATTTGATATAATTATTATTTTCACTTCGTTTTTCTATTCTTTTATATTACGTTAATGGAACTCTGTAGTCTATTTTTATGGCTTATTCTTTTCCTTTTTACATTAAAATTAAAAGTAGACGTATTTTCACAGTAAATCCTGTCCTATAAGTCATACCTACATTCCCGGCGTGCTCCGTAGACGGTAACAAAGTAATTAAAGTAGCCACTTAATTAAACTTCTCCTATTGAATCTTGAGATAAACTGGTAAGGCGTTGCACTTTTTGAAGTTTTACGATCCTTTATTCAATGGGGGTTGCAACAGATGAAATGTCCCAAGACATATCCCAATGGCTGTTATCAATGGATTCGATTGCCGGGATTATCGTTTTTTTTTTTACGTATTTTTAAACTTGTTAGGTAACTTATTTACAATTTGATTTATCTACGCGACGTTCCGCAGCACGGCTGCTGCAAAATAACTAATACATTTCCCGTTTTTAACCGTTAAAGTGTTTTACTTAAATGTGTACTATTCGCGTAAACCACAGAAAATTTAGTCCATAAATAGGTGGCGGGAATATCGGAACGCAATTGTTTTGGATTTAACATTTTTGCGTATTTTCTGATCGAGAAGGACGCAGAGGGGCAATTACAAAGAAAGTGATATGACGTTTACGCCGATAGAAGTAAAAAAAAAATAACAATAGAACGGCAACTTATATAAATTAAAAAATTGCCGCTCAAAGTAACAGTTGCTCAAAGTATTTAATCCTTTCCACCTTCGCCATTGAGTATTTCACCGTTTCCCTCGAATAATTCTCTCGAATCACCTATATAATTCAGTTTTTATTGAGTTCTGTATCCATCCACCGTTCGGCGATGATGAACTGACATTGGTTAGTTTCCGCATTTCGACCCCAAATGATGAATCGATCCTTCCTATAGTATCCGGGTCTGAGGTATCCGTCCATCCGAAATTGTACGTGAGTACCGAAAAATGGCACTACCTTTGTTAATTAAAATAGCTTTAATTGATACGACATGTGCGTCTTTCAGTCTACCTCCGTATGTCTTAACAGTTTTCGCTTGAATGTATCCGTTGATAAGATGCATGACCCATTAGACCAATATGATCCACAGTATAGGTTACGAAAGCAAATATTAAATTCTGTCTATAATTTACGCGAGTAGTACACATTTAAATATAACAGTTTAACGGTTTAAAACGCGATTTTTCAAATATGTTTCACTAATATATCGCGTTTTAACCGTTAAAATGTTTTATTTAAAAGCTAATATTATTTATGTGTATAGTGTGTGCTGTACGTAGTCCTAAGTATCATATATTTACTAAGAATACCTATCGCGTAAAAAAAAGTAGGAACAAGTTTTATACGGGGTATTTTTGTTTTTAATTGAATCCAATAATTATGTATTTGCGTATAAATTGTAAATTCCACTATTATTCCGATATACTCCGTCACAAAAAAACGGTCTACGAGTTACTAGCTCTTTATTAAATCGCTTTAGACACAGTCACCTCAGAAATGCGGCAAATTTTAAAGTAACCTTCTCAATATAGAGGTCCACGGGCCATTCTTGAAAATGTCCGGAATTCACTCTAATAAGTCTGTAGCTTGCTACAAAGGTTTTACAGAGCAAATTACATTTCTTTATACATTATAGTGTTCTCTACAATTATTTTTATTTTACTTGTCCCGTGGTTTTCGTTATGGAGAATTAATACAGCGTACTTTATACAGCGATCGGATGTACCTTTAATTTAAATATCTAAACGTATTATTAAATGTAGACAAGCAGAACTGTATATCTCTTATATACACACATATTATATCAAGAGAAAAAAATTAAATATACTTTTTTAAAATTAAAAAAAAAAACTTTAACGGTTTAAACGCGTATATTATTAAATTATTAAAATATTTAAGGCCGACGTTTGGGGTGCTTTGCAGCAGCCGTGTTTAAAGTGTTTTATTTAAATGTGTACTACTCGCGTAAACTATAGACAGTATACTTTGTCAAAATTGATTTTTCACGCGGCTATGATACTATTGTCCCTATGAGAGTAATGAGATTCCCTAAAATATAGTAACACTCATATATTTTTATGCAAAGATTACGAACTATAACATATAGGGTGCAAAAGTCCGGGCCATTATTTTAGCAATATAAAGAAATGTCAAAAAAGAATTTCTTGAAAATTTTAAACTATATCCCCATATACATGGTTCAAATGTGGAGTTTGTTAACTTACGTGTAAATTGGAATCCTAAAAAAATGTTTGTTTGCTATATATATATTTTGACGGACTCGTGGGTTCGACATGTTTCTTTTTTTTTCATTAGGTATATAATGTCTCTGAACCAATTGGAAATCTGGATATTAAATTGGCGGTAGGAATATTGAAATGCTATCCCGGTCACGAAGCACCGTCCACAGATAAAAGCCTTGAGGTTTGATCTCATTTCGGTTTCAGTTTATGGATTTCCGAATATCCAAAGGCAAAATAGATTGACAACGCATCTTGTTGAAATACCCATTGCTTGTCTGTCCTGCTATATCATAAAAAAGTGTCTCTTCCCGATGTCTCACCGAGAGAAGTCTCGTTTGAACTGTTATATTTCTCTAATAAACCGTTTCGGATTTTCGCTGTCATTCCGACTCCAGTATTATGTGAAGCAGGTAATAAAATAACGTATAATGTTATGGCCACACTCTGTTTTGGCACAGAGACGTTATTGAAAGCCTGGCACAGCATTATATATGATTTAATGCACTTGAATAAGCCTTGTCCAGCGACTTCTCTATATACAGAGTGATAAAATAACACGGAGATTAATGGCAGATCCGAGTTAATATTGCTCATCTACCGTTTTTAGAAATTTTCAGTATTTAACTCTTTTTATGACATCGGAACAGAAGCATGGATGGTAAAATGCCCCATCTATGCGATATCTAAGTAAGATGGGCTGTCGGCCTATTTAAACGAGTTATCTCTTCCCGTACATTGT